AATCCTATGCAAAAAAACTGCAATTAACATTGCCATTCAGCTCAAAACAAACAGCTTGGCAAGACCCTCTTAATAATATCTTTGTCTGGCACAGAAGGCTTTTGGACAGTTACACAGTGATGGTTTTATGACAAAGGTAATTGCACTAGTGCTTTATGTGCCCRTGATCCAGGACACGGTGGCCCTAAATCTGAAGGAAACATTTATTTCCAATAAAGGTGCAGGGTAGGTTGGCAGCCAACTCTTTCTATTATGAATGGTAGTTGTGTCTAATTCCCTATTCCGAAAATGTATTCCAGAATGTAATAGCAAGGAGTGTTAGTATTACCAAGGTGGTAGAACATAAACTCTTCAATCTCTGAGCTGTTGTTTTCTTAGAGACATCTGGTGTAAAGGAATATAAAGATTTGAAAGTCCAATGCAAATCAATCACTCCTACCGATTTTAGTGCATCCTGGATTAGGGTATATAAAACTTAAATATCTGATCTCCTGCCTCAGGACTGGCCAATAGATGCAGATTCAGTTGGAAGTAAAACACTATATTATGACACCCAGCCACTTTTCATTAAATCATAAATTTTTAAGGTCCAAAACACAAGCCATTTTTTTCATCATCCTTCYGTAACATCCAAAATCTTTGACTAACTTAGGTGAACCTGGCACTTTCCTTACTACTTTGTTCCAATAATTAATCATCATATTGAAAAATCTGTGCCTTAGATCAAATCAGAATTAGTTTGATTATAACTCCCCATCATGGGCTCTTGTCATTTCTTGACTAGAATAGCAATCACTTTTCTGCCTCCAAAGTTCCTTGACTTTCCTTCATTTCCCCAAACAACCTTTTTGATAATCCGTGCAGTTCAGAAACCTTAAGTTTTTCACTGTAAAACACTCCTCCTGGCATACTTCTGTGTGGCAATTCTCAACATTCACTCCAAGTTATTTTTAGCACTTTTTCTAAACAAAAAGAAGTGCATCAGATCCATATGAAAATTTTCTAGTATTGATCTCCTTAATTCTGCACACAAGGGCATCCTGAAATGTGTACAAAGACAACATTCTGCAGTTATTAGTCATCCAAGTAACTTTCACACAAGGAAGTCATCTCACTGGAGTCAGCAAGTTTTGTAACTAAACATTACTCCTGTAAGTACAGATTGTGGGAGGGAGTACTTTTTGAGAACTCCTTCTAGGATATCATTCATTCCTAGGAAATGGAGTATTTGCTGAAAAGAAAAATCTTAAATTCTTACTTTGGAGGTGCAAGAGTCTCTTCCAAGAATTCCTCAATCTTGTTGACATCTGTCTTGACTTCTCCATTAAAAGTCAAGAAAGGTGGGTGGGTCCCTGGAGCCAGATTGTGTAGATCAGCTGGCTTTCTGCAGAGACAAAAAGTCATGAAATCACTAATTTTTATGATCATGTAGTCACAGAGATATTTATAATTCCTACAAAACCCCGTGGTTTGTCCTTCTCTTTCTTCAGCTGTCTGTGGTCAGAATAGTTCGAAAAACACCGAGAATCCTATTTAATATCAAAACATTCCACAAATGGGGGAAAAAAACCTCTGAACCCGAATCTCAAATATTTTCTTGTGCACCACAGACTCTCTGAGCCAGATACAAAGCTCATTGAACTTGGTGGGGGATTTTTACAGGACAAACACCAGGTCACATAACTATTTTCAGCTAAACTGAACAATTTATACCTTTTCAGGTCAACAGTGGTGACGTTGAACACAACTCCTTTGAGCCAGAGGATCATGAAAAGACGCTGGGAAAATGGACAATTCCCAATGCTCTCTCCATCTATACCAGCCTGAAGGACAGAAAGAGAAAAAAAAAAAAAAAAAAAAAAAAAGAGTACAGATACGTTAGTTACTTATATCTCAAGAAGGAAAAGTAGATGTTGAAACAAAAATATCTAGTTCNAGAAAAAAAAAAAAAAAAAAAAAAAAAAAAAAAAAGAGTACAGATACGTTAGTTACTTATATCTCAAGAAGGAAAAGTAGATGTTGAAACAAAAATATCTAGTTCAAAAATAATCTACAGAACCTATTATTTGATATAGTTTATCATCAATGGAATTACTCTAGGACTCTAGCTGTTGTCAGGATCTTAAGAAAAAAACACAGTACCTCCCATAAGGCCAATTCTGGCTAAAGCAAATGTGTCTCTAGCTTATTTTTAACTACATTCAGGAGCAATGTATATGCTTTAAATGTCTCTCATTCCTGGAAGGCTGCCTGCTTAAAGGCTATATTAGAAAACAGGCTTTCTGCTTCATTTGAGTCTACGAACTATAACTTTTACCACTTCTGTCAATACGTCCTCCCTGCTCTACAGGTCCAAATTGGGGACATATGAAACTAGATTTAAACCCAAGCAATCCTAATATTCAAAGATATTTGAACTAGGACTCCTTGTTCACATTCAGTAAAACAAAAGCCTCAGAACTGGCAGGCAAATTCAGATGGAAATCTGAACCTAACCTCTTCCAAAGTTCAAGGTAAATTTCAGGTACAATATTCAGTCTGCTCCTATCTCTTATACCTAATGAGTTGCCTATAAACACTGCAAAACAATAAAAAAAAAATGCTGGTGTTAGCATTGAGGAAACAGTCTGTTTTTTTCCTGTAAAAATTTATGATCCTTAGCCATGCAAATTCTGACTTTGAGCCATGGAGGGATACAAATAACCCTGGCTAAACTGAGCCAAAGCTGTGTCCAAGGACAACATCCTTGTACAATAATTATGCTTGTGGCCAAAGCTTTCAGGATGATAATGGTTTTGATAGATTTCCATTTTAATTTGTGGTACTATTGTTTTTAGAAGACTCTTACAGGCCTGGTGAAGCAACCAAACTTCCTCTGTTGACCCATATGGGTTGCATAATTGTATTTTATGCACACAGTGTTTGTCTGAAAACGGCTGATGAAAGAACTAAACAAATACATGTTATTTTCTTTTTGARAAAATATTTTATTGCTCTGCTGTCATAAATTTCGTCTTCTTGATACTGAAGCTATGAGGTAGCATTTCTAAGTCCTAAGGAAGAAATAACTTCTACCTATTGATGCTCTGTGAAACATCCWCACCGCAACTAGAAACATTTTGAGATGTGTCCAGTGCTGCAAATTCACGCTCCCATATGAAATATTTAGCAAAAAGATTTCAGAGATATTGCACTGTATCTCAAAGCTTAGGGGATACTTAAGGAGCTTTTCTCTAGGTTCAGATTTAGATTCAAASAGTCTCCAGAGACATTTGGATCTGAGGGTACAGTTTGCTTGCACTTCTACTTGAAATTGGGCATGTTCTATATGCCTTTGGCAAGAACCCACAAACAGTATGATTAAAGAGTGGTAAGGTACAAAAACAAGCAGGAAATGATGCCTTTTCTTAGATGCCTGGGGTGTGGGTAGCCTAGTTTTACACTACTTCATTAATTTGGTAGTTAGTTCTGTTCTGTAAATTTCATGGCAAAACAATGACAGTGTTTCCATGGAAAGGCAGGTGCTATAGTATTGCACAGAGTAATTACTGTGAAGTTATATTTGTTGATTTGGCTTTGACTTATTAAACCAATGCCAAGACCTTTTAACTTCTTAGTCTTCCTAAAAAGAGGCAAATGCTGGAATAGAGTGATATGACACCAAATGTCCCTTTGCTTTATTACATTCATAATCATAATCACAGTCTTCACACTAGAGTTGACCAAGTCTACAAGCAAAGCATAACAAACTTAAAATTTGCAGAAAAACAGATTGACCACCCAATTAGAGGGCAGATAGGAGGTTTCATTCTAATCTTATGTGCTGTGGTTTTGCTTTGGTTTATACTTCTGTTGAGCCTGAATCATGCTTCACCTGACTTGCTTCAAGGTGAACTTAGATCAGTAGTTTGCCAAGTCTTGCAAGAAAGGGGTCCCATTTGATGTTGTCTCATAATAAGACATAGAGGTCTCAGAGACTAAGAAATGTAGAATTCACTGGAGACTGGAGAAAGATGTGGTGCCTACAAGAATACGAGTCATTTGGAAAACAGAAATAAAATAGTTAAAGCAGATGAAACCGTCAGCAGCACCAAAGGTTCAAAGCTGCCCTTCCTTGCCTTTCAAAAGAAATGGAAAACATTAATTGCTAGGCACACATTGGGAATGCATTACGGAATGAAAGGAAATTGCAGAAATGAAAGATAAACTAAAGAAAAAAATATGATATGGTCTCTTTTGAAAGCTCATGGATCTGGAAGCCAAGCTCATAATTTGGGTGGAGTCTGACTCATGGGTTTTGATCTCATTGACTGGCATAGCTGAAAACGCCACCACAAAACACACAGCAAACTGGTGACAGACAGGGCAACAGAATCAGAAATCTCACTGGCAACACAAATTATYCATTAAACTCAGCTCTTTCTGCAGAAATCCTAGGCCAGACGCTGTTGGATTTGTGAGTCCTTTCCCATTTGCTGATAACAACAGTCAATAATTCAATGCCCAGCGCTTAGAAAGAGCCAAACCCTAGTAGGCGATAACTTCAAAGGCTTATCAAAGTATAATGAGACTATTTGTAAAGTCTATTAACTATCAGTAGAAGATGAGGAAGAATACACAACTTCCCAGGCTTGGTAACTTTTTCCTTCAAAGAAAAACAGCTTCCTTAAGGCATTCTGGGAGTGATTAAATACAAGCCTATTATGTATCTGTCTGAGGTAAAAGGCTCAGAAATGTAGGAATTAAATAATACCTTCATCAAAACTATGATCTCAAAATGTGGGCAGAAAAAGAAAGGACAAATAACTGACAAACTGGAGAAACACCACCCATCCCTGCTGCTATTCACAGAGGAATGCGTTTTCTCAAGCTGAAGCGCAGCACCACTGACAGGAAAAGACCCAGCTGATGATCACGGAATCACAGAATCATTAAGGCTGGAAGGAACCTTCAGAGATCAGGAAGGGTCACCTAGAGCATGTGGGTTGAGTCCAAGTGGGTTTTGAAGATCTCCAGGGAAGGAGACTCCACAATCTCTCTTGGCAACATGTTCCAGTGAAACGACAGAACATTTAACCGTCCATAAAAAGACGTTTGCTCTCACAACAATTAACTAGCTTCTGCTCCAGCTTATGATGTCTCCTGTCAGAAGCGGAAGATGAGAACGGGTCATGTGGCTGGGAAAACAGCTTCACTAAAAAGTCTGGTAACTAAGAACAAGACAACTCCATATCAAGCACAACCACAGAGGGGAGGGAAAAAAGTTGCCAGGAATGAGACAGCAACTATTACCCTCTTAGGACTGAGACTTGTTAATTTGTCCATAAATATTAACTATTTGAACATCAGCTTGTACACACTCTCCCTGGCAGTAATGCTGGGTGTTTCTGTTTTAATGATCGCAACTGAGGGTAGATGTGAGGGTTCAGGGGCAGCAGATTCATGGAAGTAGAAATTTATAACGTGCACAGTAACTCACAAGGGGCTACAGAGCCTCCTTCTCCCTGCAGAGAGCAATCACTATTGCTCCTTATGGAGAAAGACCTCAGCAGAGAAGATCAACTCACATATTGGCAGCAGAAAAGCAAAACAGATGCAAAGATTTTCTGAGGGTCAAATGTTGTTTGGCCAGCATTCAGCCCACATAACTCTAGGAATTTAACTGAGGAGCCTGGTCACCTGAAGTCCCCATGCAAGTGAAGGAAGCAAAGTACTTCTGAAAGACATTTCACTTAAATTGAATCTGATTAACGCTTGATTTTAGGGGGGTGAATGAATCTGAACCCTCAAAAGAGAAAAGTGTTTGGAGTTCGTGGACACAGAATTTCTGGAAAATAATTTTGCTCCATTGTAGAAATATCACTTCCCACTCCCTTTGCTTCACATGACCTTACACTTAATTAATTTAGCTACTAAAAAAAGATGCCTAATGTATTTCTAGTTAGCCTTTAGACATCCCAAATGACAAAAGGGCTTGCCCTGGACCTTAGTGTGAACATATCAGCAAAACTCCAGCATAGTACCATTTCCTTGTGTCCTACTGAGTAATGACAAAAATGAGTAAGATGTTTTCCCTCATAATTTTAAGACACTCCTCCTTAAACAGGTCAGCTATTTTTAATGAATTAATTAAGCTTTAAAGACATTTGTGAGCACAAGAGGGGAGTGCACTGACACATTATCCAGGAAGAAAAAAAAGGTAAGGAGGTTTCAGGAAAAAAAAAAATGTCTTGGAGATTTTATGAGCTTGAGCCACATATTTTTAGCAAAGTAGCTGTAATAGCAAGATCTCCTGTTTAGCATAGCTGAACAGTGTGAACAGGGAGCACTTCTTAGGTTTAAACTACTACTTTTCTATACGAAAAATAACTGAAACAAACCTCCTCACTGGTCCTGAAAATACTCCAACTGGTACATGCACAGTGACTGCAATGTATGAAGTCAAACTGTATAAAATTTCAACTAACTATAAGGAGGGAAAAAAGAGGAGAAGTAACTTTATTTCCGGTTATTCCCAAATAGAGCAGTTTTCAAGAAAAATACTGTCATTAGTAAGGAGTACAAAAATGACTAAGCATCTAGCCAGAGAATTGCAGTGCTGGAAAGAACTGCATATTGGAAAGTGTTATTTTTTTTTTCTAAAGGACCAGCATGTATTTGTTTTTATCTGTTATGCTTCCCCTTTCATTTTTCATTGCATTGAGAACATTCTGCAAAACAGTCCAATGTTTTCTTGGATGCTATGGTAAAGTATGCAGATATTTTCGATGACACTCAAACATTTTTTATTTTTCAAAGGGATTTTAACAAGTTAGCAAAAGCA